ACCTCGACTCTTTCCTCTGGGTCTGGATTACCAGCCAAGTAATCAGAGCAGTCCTTATCAGCCATCTCGGGGCTCAAGCCTCTGAGCTGCCTTTTATGGCAAATAAATGAACCTTAATGGTTTCTCTGAACCATTAAGAAACAGAGAGGAAAAAAATAAAACAAGAAAAACAAAGAGCAACTTCATCCATTTCTTCATTTGTTCATTCAGTCAACAAATATTCATTCTACAGCCCAGGCACGCAGCTAAGTGTGGGCTGGTCACTGAGGAAGACTCGGTCCCTGACATCAGAGCAGTCAGATTCTAATAGGACAGACAGACACCCAGCAGGCACCGCAAGCAAGCATGGGTACTGAAAGGGGTCATGGTCGGAAGCTCCAGCAGCAGTGAAAAGGGTAATGGGGCCAATCTGTGAAAGAAGTGGCATCCAAGTTTAAAAGAAGGCTGCGTGGGGTACCTGGGTTGTTCAGTCCATTAAGCGCCTACCTTCAGCTCAAGTTATGATCCCGGGGTCCTGGGATCGAGCCCTGTGTTGGGTTCTCTGCTCCGCAGGGAGCCTGCTTCTCTCTCTCTCTCTCTCTTTCTCTCTCTCTCTCTCTCTCTGTGTCAAATAAATAAAATCTTTAAAAAAAAATAAAATAAAAGAAGGCTGCATGCTGGTCAGATGGCAAGGTGGAGAAAAAGAAGGAAATAGTAGGCACCCACTCACGAGAAGGCACCAGGGTGTTCAGTGTTACGGATAACGTTTGCAGGACTGAAACGTCAAGGTCAGGGGGCTGTCCATGGAGGGGAATTTGAGGGGTGGGAGACAAGACTATCTTCCAGAAGGCTCCAAGGAATGAGAGAACTGAGCAATGCAGATGACGTTTACCTGAATTTCAAATCCATTTATTTAAAAAAGGTATATTAAGAAGAGATTCAGTGAACAATAAGATAAACCGAGCCATCCCCAGAGAATCCTATAATGATGTATTAAAAGCTGAATCACCACTTACAGAACTATGAAAATTCTATTGCACCTATCAGTGAATTACTCGAACCTCAGAGAGAAGATACTTATTTTTAAGGTACGGTACCATAAGACCCAGTGATTTTACATAGTTGAAACTATAAAATTCAGCAATGAGAAACTTTTTTCCTGCGTCTTCCCCTCTCGATGGTCTGTGTTATACGGCCCTACTCGCACCACTTTCACTGACGCCGGCCTGGGAGTCAGAACTGGTTGAACCCTGACCGAGCTACTTGTTAACCTAAGTGACCCGCGGCAGGTTATTAACCACTCTGGGCCTCTGTGTCCTCTGATAGACCCATCTCTTAGGGACGCTGTTGACATCTGGTGAGACAATGCTTGAAGTGGGTGTTTCCATTTCCATTTTATTAAAGAGTAAACAAGACTCAGAGAGGTCACATGACGTGTGGCAGACCACACAGCGAGAGAAAAGCCCTCAGACTTCACACCAGGGCCTCTGACTCACCCCGCAATCCAGTTCTCTTTTCTGCCATAATTCTGGTTTGGGTTTTTTAATTTGGGGGCGAGGGGTGGTGGTGGTGGTGATTTTCAATGGTAAATATAGTTAAATTTCAACTATGATGACCTTTTCCCGACTGTGGAAAATAATAAAAGTTTTTGAATAAAGACAAAATAAAGGGGGTGTGCAGCAAAATAAGAACCATAGCAAAAATAGCACTGGATGAACGCTTTAAATGGGTGGGTTGTATGGTGTGTGAATCGTATCTCAATAAAGCTGTTAAAAATAAGGAAAATTAAAATAGCCCTGGGTGAGACATGAGTAATGTGGCATTTAGGAGTGGTAGGATTTTGAGGAAGTCGCATTTGCGGCTCCATTTCCTTACCTGTAAAATAGGGATGCTATTACCTGTACTGTCTTTACACCAAGGAATTAGGAGAAAATGGGATCTTAAATGGTAAAAATCCATTGTGGTGCTACGATGACACTAGAAAGAACTTGAGAACAAAGGGGCTTTATTTATTCATTTCTATTGACAAGTGAACCTCCTAAAATGTATAAGAAAAGAAGTCTACCCAGGGGCGCCTGAGTGGCTCAGCTGAATAAGGGTCTGCCTTAGACGCGGGTCATGATCCCAGGGTCCTGGGATGGAGCCCTGAGTCTGGCTCCTTGCTCAGCAGGGAGCCCGCTTCTCCCTCTCCTCTGCCTGCCTCTCTCTCTCCCTCTCTGTCAAATAAATAAATAAAATATTTAAAAGAAAAGAAAAGATGTCTACCCCAACTTCACAAGCACCTGTTCATGACCATCCCTTCTCAAAATACCGAAAGTCACTAAAATATCAGCAGCAGGAACTTCTGGAAAACGGAGATCACAGGAGCATGTTTCCCTGGAGCACCGTTACAATGTAATAAGGAGGGATATATTCTCCCAGTGAACGGCTTTCTAATCTGTTGGCACAACAGGTTGGCAGAGAGCTCTGCAGTTACCAATCATGTGGACCAAAGAATCAAAATAAACACAAATGTGGCTTGAGTTCTCCAGGCCTATAACAGAATCCCAAGTCACCACTGGTCTACTCATGTTCAAAGGTACACAGGCTGCGCCAGACCCAGAAACAGCCCTCTTCTGAATTTCCTTCCCATTTTATGATGGAAATGTATAATAAAATGTTACTTGTTTTCTCCTTCAGTAGAAAGACCATTTTTACCTTCCCAATTCCTAACGTGTGGGTTTCACAGAAATGAAACATTAATACCAGGGGCTTTATCCACGCAAAGACAAAACATGATTTTCCACTGTGTTTAAAAGGCTGAGGTCATTTTTGTCCCAATTCCTATATAGTGGTAAGCTTAAAATCAAGCCATTTAGCTCACAGTCAGGTCCTATAAATCGGTGGAAAAAAATAAATGGGAAAGCATGCCAAAATGTAACCATAGTAACACCACAGATGCGTCAAGAAATGGTGTGCTCATTTGCTTCATTCCCCATTTCTTAAATTGGAATCTAAGTGGGGGAAAAATTACACAGAGAACACTCATGATTCTGCAAGTACCAAATTCTGCAAAACTATATTCAACCTGTCGTCCCAGAACAACAGAGCAGCTCTGGGTACAGCTACAGAAGCAGCCCTAGGTGGGAAGAACCCAGAAGACCCAGATCCAACACTTATCCGTGATTTGATCTCCCCATGACTCTGTTTCCTCATCTGTACATGGGGTGTTAAAAATCCCAACCTCAAAGAGTCATTCCAAGGGTAAAACTGATCAGTAGATCAGAGTCAGGATAATGGTGGACTCAGAGACCACCAGCCTTAGTCACCTTCAGCCTTGTTTTGTATTGGCTTACCTTGGTGCCTTGGTTTCTTGACCCATAAAAAGAATCGTAATCCCTTCACAACCCATGTGATTAACATTAGGAATTACTATTAATCCAAGTGTAAAGGATTATTAGTAGGATGTAAGTTTACAGCATTCAATTCCCATGCTGAAAGACCCAAAGAACAGAGGCCCAGAGATTCACATTAATGCATTATCGACACATTTTCTCTTTCAAAGGTAGTTCTGCCACTCAGCAGAAAGAGACAACCCTGGGGCACCGACCCAAGTTCCTTACACTCAACCTCTTTTCCTACTGGAGCCTTGGTTTTATTAATAAGTAAAATGAAGGGGCGCCTGGGTGGCTCAGTGGGTTAAAGCCTCTGCCTTCAGCTCAGGTCATGATCCCAGGGTCCTGGGACAGAGCCCTGTATTGGGCTCTCTGCTCAGCAGGGAGTCTGCTTCCTCCTCTCTCTCTGACTGCCTCTCTGGCTACTTGTGATCTCTGTCAAATAAATAAATAAAATCTTTAAAAAAAAAATAAGTAAAATGAAGAGCAGGGGGCTGTTCTAGAACCTGAGCTTTAAAGGCCTAAGTCCCGGCAGATCTATGACAGCTTACATTAAGTTCTGTTTATCGTTTTGCAGTAGGATCTGTAAACATTAGGACTCCAGCATACCCTTACAAAATACTATTTAAAAAAAAAAGAAGAAGAAAGAAAGAAAACCACTATAGCAAACAAATCACAGCAATAAGCAAGGTACTTTCAACTTCCAATGATTCCTACTGTTTTTGCTGATTAAAAAATGTTGTTGTTAAAAAAATTAAATTTCAAGCTTTGAAGGACTGGGTAATAAAGAAAAGAAAAATTCTAAGTACTAAAATCAAAATCATTCCTTCTTCTTAATTTTAAATAAAATGAAATCATTGTAAGTCTCCCCAGGACTCCTACCTTTTAATTAGGTATATATGGTAATACTTTACTACAACTTCTGCCCCATAGACTGACTTCCCTTCCGTCCTTTCCTTCCTTCCTTCCCTCAACACAAAAACCTTGCTTTCATAGTCCCTATGTTCCACGTCCTGCCTTCTCAGATTTATCCTGATCTAACGGGTACGTGGGATTTGAGCTTTTAATTGGTGGAAACCATTTCTTTTAATTGGTGGAAACCATTTCTTCAAAGAAGATTGTGCATGAAATCCAGGTCTATGAATCAGGTCACGTTGGGGAAGAAGAAAGAATCTGCTGAGGCAATGAGGAAGTAACTCACGGATCTCTGCAGAGGTCAGTGTGAAAGCCTCTTGCCTGGTCTAACACCATGAGTAACAGTGATGGTTAACATTTATGGAGGCTTGCGCCACACCCATACTGTGCAAAATGTGCTTACATGCCTGATCCCATGGGCGCCTCCAAAGAGTCCTATTGAATAAGTCGGATGTCCTTTCCACCGATGTAAAAACTGGCCCTGACAAAGGACAACTAATTTACCTGGCATCATAAGCAAGTACGTGGCAGAGCCAGAACTTGAAAGCCAAGTAATTTCACCTTGTGCTATGCAACATGTCCCACGGTCACTTACAATTCCCTGGACTTAGGAAGTCGCTACGTGAACAAACCGACCAACCAGTGCTCCAGAACCAGCTGGAGAGTTCTTCTGGCTCCAATAACTTTCCACACACCCACCCAGCAGTCAGTTGCCTTAAACCAACTACTTACAAGGCACAGCATGGCGGTAAAGGTTATCCCTTATGGTCTGTTGGAGCTCATGATCAGGAGACCCTTTCTGGAACCGTTGATTGAGGAAATGTCGCAGGTCCTTGTTCAGCTTTCCTCCTGTAGGCAATATATAAAATAGAACACATCAACAATTGGGCTTCCTAGGGACTGAGCAGCTGGAGAGCTTTGTGTGGGAATGCCATCCTCAAGCCATTCTAGCCAGCCAACCTCAGTCATTAGGAAGACTGACTTCAGGTTTTCTTCTGCAGGCGAGAAAGCACGCGGAAATGTAATAAAGATAAAACAGCACTGAAATAGCATTAATTTGGGGGTCCCACTTCACATAATACTAGAAGGCTCCAATAACAAAGAATTTAAACGAGGCGATTACATTTAAAATATGTGCCATAGACGTTTGCAAATGCTACTGAAGAGAGAGTAAATGGCTGAAACCTTAAAGAGAACAATGCAGCAAGAGCTGACAAATTATACCGTGTTCTTTGACCAGTGATCCAATCGGTAGAAATGTACCCTATGAATATACTTGCAAAAGTCTGCAACATCTCCAGAATTGTTTATTGCAGCATTTTTAAAACAGCAAATAAATAAAGAGAAAAACAAAAAACCTGGAAAAATCCACGAGGGAGCAACTAAGTAAAGCATAGTTCATTCATACAGTAACTACTCTAAGAAAGATAGATCTGCATGTGTTGGTGTCAAAGGAAAATAGGCAGAGTAGTGCATAAGGCCTGATTTCTTTTTTGTAAAAGGGAATAAAGAAAAGGAGAGGTGCTGTTTGCTATAAGAAATCATCACAAAGTTTTAACAACAGTTTCCTTTGGGCAGAAGGACATGAACTTGGAAATAAGGGAGAAGATGTCACTCTTCATCCTATAGACAGATACAGATATATCTTATAGATCTTACAATCCTGTGTTGATTTCCAGACACTAGATACATACTGCCTCTTTATTACTATTGTATAAATAATAGTTACCTAGGTGGGTCTGTGCATTTCTTTGTAATTCTCTACATTAACAAAACAAAACAATAGCTAAAAATACTATGGTTACCATACTGCCTCTTTATTACCGTTATAAAGTAATGGTTACCTAGGTGGGTCTGTACATTTCTTTGTAATTCTCTACATTAACAACACAAAACAATAGCTAAAAATATTATTGTTACAAAATTATGTCATAGAAAGGAGACGGTAACCAAAGATTCTTTTTAAATTACAGACACAAATTATAGTCTATAGGATCAACACAGAGCTTATAGATCAACTTAGCTAACATTTATTCTTAATGGAGAAAGAAGGTTCAGTGACAGCTAAAAATAACAAGGCTAAACTGGTCCTTCCATTTTTAGACAAGATAAAAATTAGGTAAGAGCATTTCTAGCCTTAGAGAAACAATGTAGCAATGCAGTATTTATGTGAGCCACAAAATCCATGTCTTCAGATGAAAACTTCCCCATGGTTGAAAAGAGTAAATCATGAGGATGACAGTGATGGTTAAGTTGGTGATATGTCCCATGCAGGGCAGGAAACTACTGATTTTTATCTTAGTATCATGTTTAAAACAAGATTCCCTATTACAGATGATCATTTTAGAATAGACTAACAAAACCCAATTTGAACTATTTTATTTCAGATGTATTATGCCTAAGGTTTCAAGTGGTCAAAAGGAAAACAGATATATTTGAGTCAATCTTAGTTCATTTAATAAAGGTTCATTATGCACCAAATATTTGTTGAATAAAAAAGACAAACATTCACCTATCCACTCACCCCCCCCAAAGGGGCACAAGATTTGAATAATTTACAAAAGAATATTTATGATTGACCTTTAACCACATGAAAAGATAATCAATATCATTAATTATCAGAGAAAGGCAAATGAAAGCCACAGTGAGATCCCACTCCATATCTACTAGAATGGCAAAAATTTCAAAGACTGAGAGTATCAAGTGTTATCAAGATCGTAGAACAAAATGAACTCTTACACAATGTCACTGGGCTATTAAATGGTTCATTCTCTGGGTAAAGAATTTGGCAGTATCTTATAAAGCTAAGCCTTCACTAACCAAATGACCCAGCATTTCCACTCTTATTTATGCAAGAGAAATGAAAATAAGTGTACACATGTGCACACGCACACATGCACACACAACCTGTAGATGAATCTTCACATCAACTTGACTCACTATATAATAGTTCAAAGTTGGGAATAACCCAAATGTCTATCGACAGATAAATGGGTAAGCAAACTACTGTATTCAAATAGGATGATATATAACAATTAATGGAACAAACTGCTAACACTGACAGTATTATTCGTGCATCTAAAACACATAATGCTAAGCGAAAGAAGCTAGACACAAAAGGCAACATTCTGTATGATTCCGTTTATATATAAAGTTTTAGAATAATCTATAGTGACAAAAAGCAGTTCCGCGGTTACCTGGGGCGAAAGATAGGCAGAGACTGACTGCAAAGGTGCAGAAGGGAGTAAGACCTATGGAGCGACCAATGTCAATGTTCTGGCTTTGCAATTGTACTATACTCACATAATGGGTTATCACTGAGGAGAAAGTGGATGAAGGATACAGCGGATCTCTGTACTATTTTTTACACCTTCCTGAGAGTCTAGAATGATTTCAAGATAAAACGTTTCTTAAAAAGGGGAGCACAAGGGAAGTTTTTAAAGGGGATGCCATTATAGAAAAACTTAATTGTGACAGGATAATAGGGGTTTATACATTTATCAAAACGTATGCAACTGTGTGTATGCAATATATAGTGTGTATGTTACACTTATAAAAATGATTTCAAAGGTTTAAGAATAGATACATAATTACTGAATGACTATGTGTAGGCACTGTTCTAAATGCTTAATTCTCAATTTCCCTTTGGAGAGATGAACAGAAAGAAAAATAGAGTAAATCTTGGGAGTTAAGACTAAGGCTTGGGTGTAAAGCCTGGCTCCACTATTTGTTAGCTGGTGAACCCAAGCACATTGCTTAATCCCTGAACCTTATCTGCAAAAATAGAGCACTGTAAAACCTGTAGCTGTGCTACAAAATTGTCAAGAGGATTAAATGAGGTTCCAACCATGCCTGGCAAAGAGAAAGCACTCAGTGAAAGATGGAAATTGTCATGACAATGTAGAGGGGACAACTGTTGAGGTGAGGGGGAAAAGAGCTGAGGTTAGTTCAAAGATGGGCTGTTTCTCTTTTTTTAAATGCACATAAACATAAAACCCATTCTATTACTTAGAAATAGCTATAAATAAAATACGGGCATAGGGAAATTTGGATTAAAGGATATTTCTAGAGTTTCTAGAAGGGAATAAAATTCTACTTGTGGGGGACCTGGCTGGCACAATCAGTTAAGTGTCTGCCTTCGGCTCAGGACATGATCCTGGGGTAACTGGGATGGAGCCCCTACTCTGGCTCCCTGTTCAGCAGGGAGTCTGCTTCTCCCTCTCCCTCTACTTCTCCCCCTGCTTGTGCTCTCTTGCTCACTCACTCTCCCAAATAAATAAATAAATAGATAGATGAAATCTTTAAAAAAAAAAACCCTCTATGTGTACTAAAATTGTCTGGACATATATAAATTGGTTAGCATTTAGTGCATACTTAATATATTTTTGGCACTGTGCTGGAGTTGAAATGAAACCGACTGGTAAATCACTAACATATAATAGTCACACCTGTCAACTCTATCTCTAGGTATAAGGCACCCTGGAATTCGACCAAAAGGATAACAATGTTTACCAGCAAAATCTTCATTGTTTAGGACCTAGAATGTGTATTCCCCTTAGGAGACCACAGCTGTAGACATCAGAAAGACACTGAGTCATGAGTAGAAAAGATGGTATAGGATCCAAAGGTACTGTTTGAGTCAGAAGAAAATCCCAAATAAGATTCAGGATACAGTATCTCTTTTTCCCGTATAGAACTAGGTTTATACATTCTTTTTTTTTAAGATTTTACTTATTCATTTGACAGAGAGAGAGAGACAGCACGGGACCAGGCACAAGCAGGGGGAGCAGCAGGCAGAGGGAGAGGGAGAAGCAGGCTTCCTGCTGAGCAAGGAGCCAGACTCAGAGCTCAATCCCAGGACCCTGGCATCATGACCTGAGCCGAATGCAGATTGCTTAACCACCCAAGCCACCCAGGCATCCCAGGTTTACACATTCTTGTGGATCACAAGCAGGTACCCAACATAAACCAAGGGCTTATACATTGGAAGGCATTCTTAAGATACAGACACTCTTGGTTTACACTTGAGCTTTACGGTGAAACTAGCCAAGCTAGCTAAAGCTTATGATCACCGAACTAAAACTCCTTCCTATTGCAGACGTGCAAAAGGGCAGGGTTAACGATGCTGGTGGTTAACATTTACTCTGTGTTCCGTGACATTTGTAAGTGAAAAGCCTCAACCTTCCTATTACATTAAGAATACTGTACTTTTTGGCATCTAATCTCAAATTAATTGCCAATTATTTAGGGGATATGTCTATAAATCTTCTCCTAATTGTCAAGGCAGTGAGCCAATGAAATAATAAATTGTTAGAGAGAGAGAAAGTTTGTCATAGCATCTTCGCTTTCTTTGCAATTCAAGATTTGTTTTGCAAATGGAAAAGAAAACATAGGTCAGAAATACATGGAACTTTTTCTAAGAAAAGGATTCAGAGCTTATTTTAAGATAATTTCATAATTTCAGTGAAAATATGGGGCTGACTCTCTATCCTGGATTTGCCATTCTATTTTCATATCAATATATCTGAAATTCTGTCTCTTTTAAATTACAATATATCTCTGCTTTTTCCATTCACATTAGTTTATAGAAATTTAACCATGTCAACCGATATAACCTTACTTTTTTTTTAAAGATTTTTTTTTTTTATTTATTTGACAGAGAGAGACACAGTGAGAGAGGGAACACAAGCTGATGGGAGTGGGAGATGGAGAAGCAGGCTCCCCACGGAGCAGGGAGCCGAAAAGGGGGCTCGATCCCAGGACCCAGGGATCATGACCTGAGCCAAAGGGAGACACTTAACAACTGAGCCACCCAGGCGCCCTCTGATGTAACCTTTCTTAATTATTTT